ATTATTAATGGATTAGTATTATCATTCTTTACTCTCTGAGTTCTGAGGGTATCATTCAATGTAGATAACTATTTGTCATATATATTCTACAACAGAATTCATATTCTGATATCAGTTTGGGCTACATGGATGTTCAGGTACAGTTTGAGTAGATAATGTTGAAAGGCATATACGTTTATGTACATACATACCTACATATAGACACATATATGCACATATGTGTGAAGAGAGGGAGAGGAAGAGAGAATGAAATTTTTATTATTTATAAAGCTTGTTATTTAAATACTCTATTTCCTCTTCTGTTAATCTGAGTTAATTTATATTTTTGTAAATATTAAATCATTCTATTTATATCATCAGTTTTATTGGCATAAAGTTGGGCAAAATAGCTCCTAATAATTGTTTTTCACCCATCTTCAATGGTTGTGCATTCATTCACTCCTTTCATTTTTAATACTAGCAATCTGGTCTACTTCATTCTTTATTTAATCAAATTAGCCAATGATTTACCTATTTTGTTGATTTTTTTTTGTAAAACTAACTCCTATTTTTATTTATTAGATCAATGTTTGGGGTTTTTTTCTTTTACTTTTAATTCTATTAATCTCTCCTTTAATATTCAGGATTTCTATTTTGATCTTTAATAAGGGGTTTAAATTTGCTGCTTTTTGAAGTTTTTCAGTTGTATTCTCAATTCCTTGATCTGCTTTCTCCTTTCTAGTGAAGTAAGCATTTAGAGATTATAAATTATCTCCCTACATACTGCTTTGGCAGCATCCCTTAAATGCTGGCATATTGTCTCATTGGTGTCATTATCTTCAATGAAATTGTTCATTGACCCACTTGATTTTTAGGACTTAGTTTATTTCCAATTAATTTTTAATCTATGCTTCCAATGACCTTTGTTATTTATTGCATTATGGTCAGAAAAAAGATGCATTTAATATTTGTTTTTCTTCGTGAAATTTTTAATCCCTACTACAAGGTCAATTTTTGTCATTGTGCCATGCACATCTGAGATATATACTCTTTTCTATTCCCATTCAATGTTCTCTAGAAGTCTATAGTATTTAGCCTTTCTTAAATTCTAAAATATATCTCCTTAACTTCTTTCTTATTTAATGGATTAACATAAACTTGACAGGAGTAAATTGAGGTCTCTGACTAGTATAGTTTTCCCATTTTGTCCTGTAACTCATTTAACTTTTTCCTTCAAGAATTTGATTTCTGTATCATTTGGTACATATATGTTCGTTACTGTCAACATTTCTTTGTCTATGGTATCTTTTAGCAAAACGCAATTTCCCTGTTTATCTCTTTTAATTAGGTCTATTTTTGCTTTTGCTTTGTCTGAGATCATGATTGCTAACTTGGTCTTTTTTACTTCAGCTGAAGTAAAATAGATTCTGCTCCTCATTTTAACTTAAATATTGCTCCTTAAAAACTTATTCTGCTCTCATTTTAATTTTGTATCATTGTATGTCAAGTATATTTCTTATAAACGTATTATTGGATTCTGGTTTCTAATCCACTCTTCTAGCCTCTTCCAATTTATCAGTGAGTTCATCGCATTCATTTTCACATTTATGATTGCTAACTGTGTATTTCTCTCCATCCTATTCTCTTATACTTATCCTTCTCTTTTTACCCTGTCTCCTCCTCAAGTATCTGTTTTACTTCTGACCAGTGGTTCCCTATATCTACCCTCCCTCTAATCACCATGACAACCCCCTTTTACATAACCCATTTTCCTCCCTACTCCCAACTGGGTAAGATGGAATTTCTATACGCAAGCATTCATATATGTAAATTCTTCTCTTCTTGAAGTACAAATGAGAATAAAGTTGAAGTACTGCCCATTCCCCCTCCAATATTTTTCCCATTATACAAACTCTTCCTTGTGTGCTTCATTTATGTGAAACGATCTCCTCTATTCTATCCTCCACCTTCCCCCAGTGCACCTCTCTTTCTCACCCTTCCTATTCTTCTTTTGAGATTATTCCAACATAACAGAATTTATACCTATCCTCTTTGTCTAAGTAGACTGTAAGTGCCCTAATGATGATAAAATTCTTGGGGGTTACATGTATCATTTTCCCATACAGAAATGTAAACAGTAAAACTTTGTTTTAGTTCCTTACAATTTCTCACTGCTTTTTACCTTTTTATGCTTCTCTTGAGTCATGTACTTGAATGTCAAATTTTCTATTCAGTTCTAATCTCTCATCTGGATCTCTTGGAATACTCTATTTCATAAATGTCCATTTCCTCCCCAAAGGATACCCTCAGTTTTGCTAGGTAGTTTTCTTGTTTGTAATCGTAAGTTGCTTTGCCTTCCAGAATATCATATTCCAAGTCCTCTGCTCCTTTAGTTGGTAGCTGCTAAATCTTGTGTCATCCCGACAGTGGCACCATGGTACTAGAATTTTTTCAGCTGATTGAAGTACTTCTTCCTTGACCTGGGAACTCTGAATTTTGTCTATAATATTCCTGGGTGTTTTCATTTTTGGATCTCTTTCAGGAAGCAAGAGGTGGATTCCTTCAATTTCTAGTTTGCCTTCTAATTCTAAAATACCTGGACAATTTTCCTTTATAATTTCTTGAAATGTGATTTCTAGTCTCTTTTTTTGTTCATAGCTTTCAGGTTATCCAACTACTCTTAAACTATCTCTCCTTGATCAATTTTCCAGGTCAGTTGTTTTTCTTATGAGATATTTAAGACTTTCTTCTCTTTTTTTCCCAGTCTTTTGTTTTCTTGTTTCTTGATGTATCATGGAGTTATTAGCTTCTATTTAACCAATTCTAATTTTTAAAGTAATTTTCTTCAGTGAGATACCATACCTCTTTGAACATTTGGCCAATTCTGATTTTTAAGGAATTATTTTCATCAATATTTTTAGTGCCTCTTTTATCAAGCTAATTCTTTTTTCATAATTTTCTTGCATTCCTTTCATTTCTTTCCCCATTTTCCCCTCTACTGCTCATATTTGATTTTTAAAATAATTGTTTTTAATGTGCTTTATTTCTTTCTTTAGTGCTTCAAGAAATTCTTGTTGGGGCTGTGTCTAATCTGTATTTTCCTTTGAGGCTTTGCTTGCAGTAGTTTTCACTGCACTGTCTTTTTTTGAGTTTGTTGTTTGAGTTTCTCTGTCAACACAGTAGCTTTTTATGGTCAGATTCTTTTTTTGCTTCTTCAATTTTCCAACTTACTTCTTAATTTTAGACTTGATTGTGCACTGTTCTCTGCGCCTTATACAGAAAGGGCCTCTGCTGCCTTGTGGCTAGGAAGAAAAACTTTATTTGTTGGGCACATTCTATTCCTTACTCCTTGTCCTTAGTCTCTGGAGGCTGTTTTTCCAATTTAGCTTTTATTCAGCTTATAAATCTCAGTAGTTATTGTTTTTTCAAGGACAAAACTACTTGATACAGTCAGAAAATCTCTACTCTAGAGGTCAGAACATTTAGTCTAGGATCTAGTTGTAACTTCACTACTTACTACTGTGGTGATCCTAGAAAATCTTTTCACTTCCTTAGGCTTCAACTTCCTTATCCAAAGGAGATGGAAAGGAGACTAGAAAACTTCCATTTTTAGGCAAGAACAATTTTAAGGCTAGGCTACAGGTTTATTTTAAGATAGTGTATTAAGTACAGAGAGGCACTATGATATAATGAGAGAGACCGAGCTTAGGAACAGAATGACTTGAGTTCAAGTCCTAACTCTAACATAAACTAGCTTTGAGACCTTGAGAAAGCCAGTTAACTTCACAATGTATCAGCAAACTATTTAAGACTGCAAGTTGGAAGAAAGCTGACAATCAGAAAGGGGAGAATGAGTAACATCCTAAAATTCTACCATATGAATGAAATCATAGGTCTGTCTCCTCTCCTGCCCCCTTCCCCAGTAAATGTACTGAAAACATTTTATAATTATAAATTTAATATAGATTGGATAGAGTGCTGGGGCCTGGAACCAGGCAGACCAGAGTTCAAATCTGACCTCAAACATTCATTAGCTGTGTGACCCTGGGCAAGTCACTTAACTTCTGTTATCTTCAGTTTACCGAACTATAAAATTGGGAATAACAGTAGCACCTTCCTCCCAGGGTTGTTATGAGAATCATAAGAAATAATACTTGTAAGGCATTTAGCACATAGTAGGCCTAATATAAATGCATATTTGCCCTTCTCTTATCTTCCTAATCCCCTTTGCAAAATGTAACATACAGAAAGGCAATATGATGTGTCTCGTCCTATCATTAGCACAGCAACATGATGTGTCTCTTACTATCATGGTTCCATTTCATATAGTCAAATGAGAGAAAAAAGCCAGCAGAAACTCTCATGGTGCTAAAGAAAAGAATTCTATTGGGATAAAGGATTGGGATAAAGGCTATATATATTATATATATTTATATATTTCTTTATTACAGCCCCAGTATGGATGTTTTACAGGATGAAACAAATAAAAAATGCCTGGTAAAAAATAATGCGCAAATCTAGGACTATGAGAACCTCAAATAATCAAAGAACAGAGATATGACTTAGGAGAAAAAAGGACAGTATAAACTATGGAGAAAAAAAAAGAAAAGGCCATTAAGCTGTTAGAAGGGGTAGGAAAAGGTAAAGACAATATTCTTTGTCTTCAAGTAAAGTGAATTTCATGTAAAATATCAGTGAAAGTTGGTACAATATGCAAGACTGAGAAATTTCAACATAAATGAGGTAGACTGAACCCCTCACCAGTTAAGATTTAAGGATTTTGAACTCCTACAAGAATGTGATTATCTAATTAGTTCTCCCATAATGATAGCATGAAAACATAAGACAGAAATACTGTGAAGCCCCAAAATACTGATTTCTATTCTTCCTAAAATTGCCAAGTAATAGAATTTGTACCAATTTCTGGAAATGGAATTCAATAATCCTAAAATTCTGTTATAATGTCTAAGGATAAGTTTGCATCCTTGCCAGAAGTAAGACAGGGAAGATAAGAGGAGTACCTTTTGCATCATCAGAACCTGAAGCCAAAAGTTTTGGGTCCATCAAATTAAAGTCAACACTCCAGCATCTTTTCTCATGCTCCTAGTTCCAAAAAGAAAAGAAGGCGATCTCAGTAAAAAGATTATCTTCAAATGTAAAAAATAAGCAAATTAAAAGTAAGAGTATTTTTGTATCAATGTGTTGTTATAATGAAGAGGGAAATGTGAAATTAAGGATAGATGAAAGGCAAGAACTTTTTCTGTAACTTATAATGCTGCTCTGAAACTTTTTATAAAAACTCCACATAAGTTTCTTTTCAGGGACATTCATCTAATATACTTTATGGCAATGCAGTTCTGAGGAGATGCTTTTCAGCACTGTTCCTATTTCAAAGAATTCAAAGTTCAAATGGTACTACTACACTAAATAACACCGAAAAAACTACAACCGAGGGGCAAAATCAAAGTAAAAATGTGATTCTTTAATCATCTTTTATTTATTTGCATACATATAACAAAAAAAACTAGAACCTTCTTTACCTGGTAGACCTTTGACCTCTGTCCTGTGAATCCATCCCACAGGATGACTGTGCCTTCATAATCACTGCTGGCCAACAGATTTTTATGGTAACTACTCCAGCTGATACAGCTAAAAGAGAATTAAAACATTATTTTTACTGATAATTTGTAAAAACCAGGAATATCCATTATATAAATCTTTGTGTCACCAAAAATGTTTAGGCAGCCAAGGAAATCTTCACCAGGGTATCTCCTAATTACGAAGATAAAAGGGATCAATTACTATCAAGAAGCTAAGATACCAATGGACAGCGAGGTGGTACAGGGGACAGAGTGCCAGGTCTGCAGTCAGGAAGATTCCTCTTCCTAATTCAAATTTGGCTTCAGGCACTTACTAGCTCTGGGATCCTAGGCACTTAACTCTTTGCTTCAGTTTCCTCATCTGTAAAATGAACTGGAGATGGAAATGGCAAACCACTCCAGTATCTCTGTCAAGAAAACCCCAAATAGGGTCACAAAGAGTCAGACACAACTGAAAACAATTGAACAACAAGATTCTAATGCTAGGAGTTATACTACTCACTTTTACTAAAGTTATTACCACCACGCAAAATCCTTTAAAGCAATGTGACTCAAGCTTTATTTTGTATACCAGCTACATTCTATGCACTGTGACAAATGGTTCTGTGAAAAATGTTCAATGGTAACAAGCTATCTAGAAGGATTCCCAACACAGTATAAAGACCCTTCAGACCTAAAGAGACTGTACTAGAACCAGGGGTTCTTAAACTTTTTCCACTCACGACACCTTCAGCGCTTCTTAACCCCATATGGGTACTCATAGTTTAAGAAGCTCAATGTAACTAGACCAAATAATTCCACTTTGTATATACCAAAATACTACTTAAATCTTTCAAAGCCCACCTCCTACAAAGAATCTTCCACTAAAAAAAAATGGAATCAAGTTAACATTTGATTTGATTATTTGATCTCTGCATTCACATTCTGACTAAAGAAAAATAACAATACATATCGTATTTGTCTGTCACCCTTGTTTGACATATAAGTTAATAGGGAACATACTCCATATATACTATTTAAAAGTTCAAGCAGAGGACTTACCACATGGTAAGAACTTAAGAAAGAACTGATAACCTGAAGAACTTGAGAAAGAATTGATAATCAAAAAACTGACAACAATAAAATTATTTATATGTACCATATTAATCAAAGCACAAAGCAACATGCATACCTGATTTTGGAATTGCAGGTCATTTCATTTTCAGGGTAATGAATATCTACTGCATCCTGTATGACTGTCCCATATTCATATACTTTGATCTTCTTTGTTACCCCAGCAATGGCAAAATAGTCACAATCCCGGTCAAATTCAATACTAATGAAAAAAAGTATATGGGTTAGCAACTAAGTATATACAAAACCCTATGACATTAACTAAGACAATACTTCAGGATTTGCTGTTTTCTAATCCTAGTGTTTTTGTCTCCCAATATAAGATGGTTTCTTGAAATAGTTTCAAACTGTGCTGGATTCCTCTGTCCGTGCTAAATCATTATCAAGCCACATCATTTTGAAAGGAGAAAAAAATTATGTATCACTTCACATTATCCCTCTGGCAAGTGGTATTTTTGCTTATAAGCCATCTAAAATGTTTTTTACTTCAGCTTTACTGACTACATGACAACATAATCAAATAAGGTTAATATATCACACTGTGAGAATAGTGAAAAAAGATTTGATACTGGCATATGAATAAAGAAACCACAAGCTGATTACCAACTGATTTCTTAAGATGTTTCAGGTTCTTCTATACCTCGATTTTTTTTTTAGGGTGGAAGATGGGGTTTCCCAGATATTAATATTAAATACTTAACAAATTAGTCCTAGTGGCAAGCTTTGAAAGTATGTAAGCAGATGAGGGTTGGGGGTGGGGATGGAACAGAACATTATCATCATACAAAAATTTAAAGGGTCTAATAAAAACCTAAACATTAAGTGGAGATCTGCTGTGAAACTTTGATGAGACTAAAATTCAAGGCTACTGACTTTTTCAGTCTTACAGATAAGGCAGCAATTGCCAAACTTTGTTAAGCAATTCATTTTTGCTTAAAATATTTAATACACACTTTTTGTTAAATAATCTATGATGCTGGTAATTTTCTTTCTTTCTTTTTCTTTTTCTTTTTTAGGCAATTGGGGTTAAGTGACTCGCCCAGGGTCACACAGCTAGTAAGTGTCAAGTGTTTGGTCTGAGGCCGGATTTGAACTCAGGTCCTCCTGACTTCACGGCCAGTGCTCTATCCACTGCGCCATCTAGCTGCCCCTATGCTGGCAATTTTCTAGGCTTGTATTTTGTTTCAAAATTTTAGAATTTACTTATCTTCTGTGACACAGACAAAACTCAAACATATAATAAAAGTACCATATAAAATAACAACTGCTGCATTGTATCTTAGGTTCCTACATTTAGAGATGACAAGGACATTCAAGGTTTTCTCCCCTTATTTCAAAATTGAGGAAACTGAGGTCCAGAGAGGTTAAGTGACTTGAGAAGGGTCATAACGACAAGTGGCCAAGAGAGGTTTTGAATGCAGGTTGTCCTCTGACTCCCAACCCAGCCCACTTTTCACTATACCATATGACCCCCTGTAAGGGGAAGGAGAAGGGGAAGACAGAGGCAGAGGCTCTCCCCAGCCCACACCCATACCTAGGCCCCAAGGCTAAGGAGCAGAAAGAGAGTGGTCACGTTACCCTGGAGATAAACTACACCATCTCATCTGGCATCCTTCCCAGCTTGAGGGAACCTCTGTATTGTCCCACAGAAGGACAATAGGCCAGCATTATGAAACATCCTGCCAGCCTCCAGAGGAGGTGAACAGTGTTTTACAAGAGCAAATATGGCTGTTGGAGGGGACTGATGACAGGCATTCAAACTTCCTCATGGTATGCTGTCATAAGTGCCCACTTTGTTGCCTGAGTGGAAGGTCCTGGCACTTGCCCCTTGAAGCACCACCTTTTGTCGTTGTTGGGTTTTTTGTTTTGTTTTTTAGTGAGGCAATCGGGGTTAAGTGACTTGCCCAAGGTCACACAGCTTGTTGGTGGTGGTGGTGGTTGTTGTTGTTGTTGTTGTTTTAGGAACCACCATCTTTTGCTGGGAGAAGCTGGATCCAGTGCAAGAATGGAGAAGGAAAGCATCAGAAACTGTGCTCCACCTCCCACATGGTCAAGCAAGGGCACATTCTCCCTTCTGCTACCCCACTCCCACCAGCTGAATGAGATTCATGCTTTTAGTCTTAGGGAATGATAGGAGTAACAGACTGAAAGCTGGGGAAAACCTTCAAGGCCATCTAGTCCATCCCCTTTACTTCACAGATGAGGTTAAGTGATTTGCTCTAGATCACTAGGTAATAAGTATGAGAACTGGGGTTGTACCTTGGTACTCTTACGCCAAGTCTGCTGTACTTTTCACTGTCTCACTTGCCAATTTTGATTTGAACTTTATTTTGATTTTTAAAAAGCAGATGTATTTATGTGGGATTTGTATTTAAAATATCCAGTAATTTTAGCCAATGTTTTGCTCTTTCCCTTACTCTTAGAGAGTGTTAGGGGAGACATACCCCACAGTTTGAAACAATTACAAGTCAACTGATTAATAATCAACCAAAGCTCTTCCCTAAGAAGACAACTACCTAAGATTCCAAATCTTGAATCAATTTTTTCCATATCCCGGATGTTAAATTTCTTCAATTTAGAAGGTTAAACACTATAATTTGTAAGTATGTACACAATGTAAAGAGCTTAACTTCCCATTTTTTCAATTTGTAGGAATTATATCTATAAACATAAACCCACTCTAAAACCTGGCAAATCAATCTTCACATTGAAGATTTTTATAAAATATTTGGTAACTGATATATTCATTCATTCACAGATTCGCAATGAAAAGCATTCTTTTAGGAATTACTTTCAAAAGGCAAAAAAAATTGTTAACAGTAAGTCCTGATTTAATTGGAAGTATTTGCAATGGTGGCTAAGGTAAGGAAAATAAGTGAAAATGAACTAGGATTATTTTGTATAAGAGGACTTAAAAAGATACCAACTACCACCTTAGTTCCTGGGACTTATATGTATAAAAAAAAAAAACTGAGCCATTTCTTTTTGTAATAACTTCAGCAGGTGCTGTCTTCTTGGCTTAATCTGCCCTCCCATAAAATGAAGCTATATAGTACCCCAATAGAGTTATTTAACCTGCATTATTAATTGAATTGATTCTCATTTACTATTTGCTGCTCTATGGATTCATATAAAAGGAACAGTAAACTTAAATTTTCAATATCTCTCTAAATAAAAAGTTCCAAGAAAACATTTTTATGCCAATTACTAAGTAGGCAGATGGTAAGAGGAAAAAATGTTTTCTATGACTGATATTAATCTGGACAGCTAAAAATGAATGAAAAGTTCACAAATAATAAAAACTTTTCTTAAAAATCTACAGTCTATGAAAAAACGCTTGTTAAGCTTCTGTCACTGTTATTATCACATGAAGACTAACACAGGAACAATGAAATGTACAATGCTCCATATGTTAAGCATGTAGTCTTAAATCTAAAAGCATAAACATATCAGTCCTTTGCAGGAAAATATTAATGTAACAATTGATTCTATTTAAATCTCAAATGACAATGCATTCATTCCAGTAAGCTCCAACTAGTACATTAAATCTCAAAACTGTCATAAACTATTTAATAAATTGCTCTTCTGCAATGAAATGTTAAACTTTTCTAGTCCTTTGTAATCTAGTCTTTCCTAATTTTTTTTTCATTTTTTAAGATCTACTTTTACATACTAGTTAAGGTACAGTATTCCATAAAACCAAATATTTGTCATTTCATGACACACAACCCAGAAATTCTTTTAGCCTAGTTGTCAGGGGTTAGAAGCTTAAAATTGTTAAAACTACTCATACCAAAGACAAGCACCAAAAATGTTTTTATAAGGTTGAAGACAGAGAACTAGAGCACAAAATAAGCACTGACAAAGTCTATGTTGGGGTTCAAAGCATAACATAATATCTAAGAGTCGGAAGGGATCCCAAAGACTAACATGTTTGACCTAAATCCCTTCTATAACATCCTCAAATCAATAAATGTTTATTAAGAACTTACTTTATACCAATCATTCGACAAGTCGTCATAAACCCTTTAGTTAGAGACTTCCACTGAGAAGAGCCCTCAACATTTCCTCCATCTTATTCCACTTTTATCTGGTTCCATTTGTTTTCCTTAAATGAAGTTTACTTCTACTTCTCAGCACAGAACAACTCTAATCTCTCTTCCACATAACAGCCTTTCAATTGCTTAGAGAAAGCAATCATGTTCTAAGTCTGAACCAAAAAATATATTCAATAATTGGAACTTTACTCTTTGTAGACAATGTTTCTCCAAATATTTTCAAAAGATCTGTTTTCTAGTCATGCCTACTCCAAATTTTATTTGTAGCACTAGTTTTTGAAACCGCAGTGTAGACCTTTACATTTATCCTTATTAAATTTAATTCTATTCATTTCAGATCAAAGTCTTAGTCTTGGATGGTCTACTTTTCAGAGAAAAGTGAATCACTTTCCCAAGGCTCATAAAAAAACTCCTTTATTGTGTTCTACAATTTTACCAAGAACAGAAGTCAAGCTAATTTGATCTACAACTACAAACAACATTCCTTTTTGAAATCTGAAAAAAAAAACTGAAAAACAGTTAACTCTTCTGTTCTTGAAAATCTTTCAGTTTACCAAGAGTGTTTCAGCAGTCATATCTGCCTGTTTTTGCCACATTTTAGGACAAAGTGAGCTTGGATCTACAGACTCAAATTCATGAAAGACATGGGATCTAGTTTCCCCAGTTATCTTCTCTTTACATTATTTGATATTGTTATATTACTCTTCCTTGTTGAAAGGTCTTTTTTCCTTGAAAAGGAAAACAAAAGCCAAATAAGTATACATTCAGGTTGTTTTTTTTTTAAAATCATCCTCCTATTAATATCCCATCTACTTTAAACAGTGGTCCTTGAGCATAACTAAAAACAAAACAAAATAAAAATGAAAACAAACACCAACTCCCTTTTTTATTGCCCTTTATAATCACTGTCAGGCCTTGATGACTCATTCTGGATTTCAGCAAATCTTAGAATTTCTAAAGAACTGTGCTCATGCTTTCTTTTCATTCTGAGATACTAATTCTTTTTTCTATCTTCCACACATACCTTTTTAAATTCTGACTATGACAGTGAGCAAGTGTCCAGTTCTTTCAGCAAAATTCCTTTTCCTCACTAGAGCATCTCTGCTTTTGTGTTCAGTTTTTCATTCTTGAGAGCTTCTTGGGG